AAACCTAATAGCATGCTTCGAGATTGTGGTAATCAGGCTGTAGAAGAACGACTGCAAAATATTGAGGCTCACTTGCGATTACAGACAGGTAAGCAAAGTGCCAGGTGGTATTCCACAATTTGCAAGTGGTTAAAAAATTGCAATTCATTGAGTCACCAAATTTTCATTGAGCACCTATCATGTATAAAGCATTGTTTGGGTTGATACAAAAATAAATAAAGTATTCCTCTCAAGGAATGTATGGTTCTTGTCTATGGTTTTCCTTCTCACACTTCTTGCCACTTTCTAAAATTGAGAGAGTTGTGGTAGAATGTGTACAGGTTCCAAATAGATCTTGATAGCCTAAGTTTATTGAGGTCACAGCTGAAAACTAATGTAGTCTTTGCCCATCACCAATTTCATAACTTACCATGACCACTTCTCATTCTTATCACCCACTGTGTTAGGTACAAAGTGTTGATAAATGTCCTAGTCCTCAAGGATCTCTCAGTGAGAATAAGCATATAAATAAATAAATGCCATAGGGAAAGCAAACTAACATTTATTGAACTATAGTAAGTGCCAATCACCCAGAAAGTGTTATGTATATGTCAGATCACTTAATACTGAACGGTACCCTTTTGAGGTATTGGGGCTGTTATTATATCATTGTACAGATAAAGGAACTGAAGTTCAAAGAACTCGAGAAAAATGCCGAAGATAGTGAGTGACAACTGGAAATCAAATCCAGATGTTAACTGGCTGCAGAGCCTGAGTCTGCCTCCCATTTAGTCACCATATCCTTTTGATTCTGCTTTCTCAATATCTCTCAAATCTGCCCACGTCTGTCTATCTCCATGGCTACTACTGTAGTTGAAGCCACTATGATCTCTGCCTTGGACTGATGGAAGGATAGTAACTGATCTGCTCACCATTAGATTTCCTCCTCTAGATCAGTGTCTACCCTATGGCCAAATTGCTTTTTCTAAAGCTGAAATCTGATCTTGTTTCTCCCCAGCTAAAAATTCAGAGATTGGGATCAGAGGAGGTTGTAATTTTAAATAGTGTGGTCCACACCTGTAATTCCAGCCACATCTCTGGGTTTCCCATCTCCCACTCATTTTGCTGTCCTTAATTTTAAATAGTGTGGTCCACACCTGTAGTTCCAGCTACATCTCTGGATTTCCCATCTCCCTCTCATTTGCTGCCCTGAGGTCTTTGTACTCATGTTCTTCCTTCCATATATGCTTTTCCTTACTGATCCCAGACCAGTGTAGATTCCCATTTTATATAGTCTCATAGTACTTGGTACTCCCTGCCCTCCCTTAAAACGGGTATCATGGTTCTGTTTAATTTCTGTCTCCCCTGCAAGATAGTAAGGTCTGTGAGAGTGGAACTATATCATATTCATTACTCTGTACCTAGCATAGCACCTGGCTCAAAGCAAGTGCTCAAATGTTTATTGAATGAACAATTGCTCATTTCACCTTTTTAGATATGTGTACAATACAGTGGGATGCAAAGTTAGTGTTAACATTCTCTCAGGGGAGGTCAAGGGAATGGCATCCCTGATGAGGTAACTTTTGAACCCTTGAAGGATTAGTAGGAATTTTCCTGGAGCAAAGCAAAAGAGAGAACCAAAACAGAGAACAGCAGGAGCAAAGCATTCCATAAAGAAGGACCAGCATTTGCAAAAAGGACAGGGACACAAAATATGGTTCAGAGACTTTCAGAATCTAGTCCAGCCTAGAGTATTTGCTGGATGGAGGTAGAAGAAGATAAGAAAATGAGTAAGCCTTTGAGGATAATAGGACATTAGCATTAAGAATTAATCCCGTCCAGAAGTAGATGGATTTAAAATGCAACTATATAAAAGATTGACTGGTTAAGTCTCTAAAAGTATCAAGTAGTTAATTTTTGGAAAAATATCTGTTGAATGATTACTATGTGCTAAGCACTATTTTAGGCACAAGGAATATTCAGATGTGGTTATGTTCTCTGGCTCCGATGACTTTATACACTAGGCGAGAGAAAGATTAATGGTAAAGTAGAATTGTAAAGGAGCAGTGAAGAAGGGAATGGTGGGCACATGGAGCTTCCGTGTGAAGACGTTCAGGCTTGGACCTGAGCCAGCTCAGAAAGGGACAGGGGTAAAGCAGAGGACATCTTAGGTGATAAAGGGAGCAGCAAGAGCAAAGTCAAATGAACCAGTTATTCATTTTACCTTATTCAGCAGAAGAACTGTCAAGGTCCTCAGGTAAACACATTCTCAAAAAAAAAAAAAAAGATACTTCTAGAGTTTTTATATTTAACAAGTTGATTCTTTTGATACAAAAATTTACACATATTCTTTAATTGCATGATTGTCTAATCATATATTCAATCAGTAAATATTGAGCACCTGTTCTGTGCCAGGCATTGTAGTCTATGAACTCATGCTTCCTGGCTTTGTGCAATACACAAGCTACACAGCAATACCCAACGAACAAAATAACTAAAACTCTCTGTTCACTTGGAACTTACATTAGAGTGGGGAGACAGACAGTGAATAAAAAAAATGTACAGGCCGGGCGCGGTGGCTCACGCCTGTAATCCTAGCTCTCTGGGAGGCCGAGGCGGGTGGATTGTTTGAGCTCAGGAGTTCGAAACCAACCTGAGCAAGAGCGAGACCCCGTCTCTACTAAAAATAGAAAGAAATTAATTGGACAACTAAAAATATATAGAAAAAAATTAGCCGGGCATGGTGGTGCATGCCTGTCGTCTCAGCTACTCGGGAGGCTGAGGCAGGAAGATCGCTTGAGCCCAGGAGTTTGAGGTTGCTGTGAGCTAGGACGCCACGGCACTCTAGCCCAGGCAACACAGTGAGACTCTGTCTCAAAAAAAAAAAAAAATCTACAGAATGTTGAGTGGCAGTAAGGGATGGAAAAAATTAAGGAAGATAGGGAGTGCTGGTATTTTTAAAACAATGGTCAGAGAAGGCCTTACTGATAAAGGTAATTTTCAAGCCAAGACCTGGAGTTGGCAGGAGTAAATAAGTCTTAGGAGTATAGAGGTAGAGGGAACCCCAGTTGCTAAAGCTGATGGGGTGCTTGGCCTAAAAAGTAATCAAGTGGCTAGAGCTATATGGGTATGGGGAGAATGTCCAAATTGTGTGGGGCCTTGTAGGACATTGTAAGGGCTTTGGTTTTTAATCTGAGGAAATGGTAAGGTATTGGAAAGGTTTGAGCAGAGAAGTGGTGTGATTCTGACTTACATTTTAAAAGAATCACTGGCTGCTGTGTTGAGAATACACTATGGAAGCAAGGCAGAAACAGGGAGAGATGGTGGTAGTCTGGACCAGAAGGGTCACACTGTGGAGGTGGCGAGAAGTGGAAGGATTCTGAATATAATCATAAACTTGAAATTTGAGTGACCTTAATTTATTGTCCCCCTCTCCAGAAAGTTTATTAATTTAGAATTACAGGAAAGCCCCTTTTTTAACATTCTTCTAGGTCATAGGACAAAATATGGCATATAGGGAGAAATATAAATTGAGGAAAATAATGATATGACATTGCAGTAATGGAATTGGATTGTCATGTGTCACTATGTATTTTACTCCTCTCGTAACTATCAGAGCCTATCAGAAATACAAATTGTTCTGTACGGAAACTATTCAATATCTTATAAAATGAGTTTAACATAAAATAAAGTTTCTAGCAATATAGGAAGCATAAATGGGGTCTGTAGAGAGGGGAGGTAGTATAATATGTCCCGTAATGTATAATATGAAAATATGAGCTAAGGAATTCATTCTATTTTACTTTTGTTTTTATTTTAAGTTGAAATATGTTCCATTCACTTGCATAAGTGTCTTTGCATGGTATTTTAAAAATTGTAAGAAAAAAAATTATTCAATAGTATCTCAAAAATTTTTTAATGTATTTAGGTGGTCCTGTACCAAGAGACATTTATCAAAGAATTAAAAAACTTGAGGATAAAATCCTTGAATTGGAAGGTATCTCTCCTGAATATTTCCAATCTGTGGTGAGTATAAGTATCTCTTAAAAAGAAATAAAAATGTTTTATTTTAGGATTCTTTATGGTTTAACAGTTCACTCATTGATCTATATGCAAAAAACACTTTTAATAATTCAAAGGTGAATGAACACAGTCCTATGTAGGGGCATATCTAGTTCTTTAAAAATTCTGATTCTGAATATTTTTTATACGATACCCAAATTCTCAAATATAGGGCATTTTCATGGTGTAATGAATCAGCCTGGATAGTGGTTGAGCCTGTCATTCTGTACTTGCTATCTTGTAAAACAAAGGCTTCCTCTGGGATCTTCCTCTGACAGTTATCCCTTCTGTCTCTTTAATCCCTCTTTCCCCACAGACCCCTTCGCTCAGATATACACGGTTATATTTCTCCATGTTAAACACACACATCTCAGGCTGCCACCCTGTCTTTTTCTTCATCATAATAACCACCATACTTTTTGAAAGACTAGTCTATATTTATCTGCTTCCTTAATTCTAGCATTCATTCATTCATTCATTTATTCTTACCCCTTATTCTAAGAAAATTAAGAAATAGTGTTGTGCTGGTAAGTATCTTCTTTGGCACATCAGCATTTTTCAAAAAGTAATCCTGAGCTCTTGTGTTAGTCTTAGTCTTCTGAGGTGATTATCTGTAACCTCCCTTTTCTGAGTTTTTTTAAAGAAGTGCCATATTAAAATTAAAATAATATAAAAGATTATACTAAAACTCTTGTTTCTGAAAAATTATGTAAAGTAGCTCATTTTAGTGTGGATCATATAAGTCCCTGGTGAAAATACATTTAAAACTCATTTTAGGTGTAGGAGCAATCTTTCTGAAGATAAAATTAGATATTAGAGTGAGGTACAGAAAAGAAGTATTTCTAGAGGCCAAAGTCAGGTCACATAACAAAAGGGGGCAGCAAGTCCTAAATGACAAAAATTTGGAGAAAGAGTTTTAATGATTTACTGCTCTAAAATGGAAAAATGAGATTTATAAAAATACTAAGGGCTGAAGGATTAAATGAGTCAATGGTGACCAGACATTTAGCACACTGCCTAGCATGTGGTAAAAACCTCAGTAAATATTAGCATTTATTTAGTTTCAGAAACCATCCGTGAAATGGCTATATAAATATGGATAAGTCACTCCATTCCTCTGGTCTTCAGATGTCTAATTGTAGGAAATTTGGTTATACTACATAATTACAAAGATCTTTTCACTTTTAGGATTATTCTTTGTATCTCCTTAGAAAAATTCGTAAAGACTTTATGACTTTTTCTAAAGCAATCTACCATAAGTTTTTCCCATTTAAACTGCCTTCATTAAGTAATCCATACAAAGGTTATTTTTCCAGTTCAATTTTACACCTTATTAATACAATTCTTACTAACAATAGAACTGATCTTGCAAGAGACTGTGGGTAGTATCAGATGCCTCCAGTGAGACCTTGCTCCGTCATTTATCTCTTCTGATTCTGATGTATAAAAACTTAACATACAGACTTTGTTAACAAAGGAACTAAGCCCTTCACATCATAATCTTTTTGTTTTGTTTTGATCTGTTGTTCTTAGGATACAGTGGTTGGTTAAAGAGAGAGGCAGCCAAATTGTAGAGGACCTAAGATGCTATGCCCATAAGTTTAAAGTCTCTTTTCCAGGCAGAGGCAGGGGAAATCCGTAGAAGGCATTTGAGCAGGAAAGTGACTTGTGAATGCAATATTTAGAAAGATTGATCTAATACAGTGTGGGAGATAAATGAAAAGGGAGAAACTAAGGATCAGGAGATAGTATTATACTAGCTAGATGTGAAGTAAGATCCTAAAATAGGGACATGAGTGAGAATAGAAAAGATTAATGCAAGCAGGAAAGAAAAGTTGACAAATATGATCATTGGATGTAGAAAAAGGCATGGAGCAAGGATGAGTGCAGTTTCTGGTTGGAAAAGTGATAGCATCATTGATAGAAATAAGAAAATCTAGAGGAGGAGCTATTTTTATGGGAAATGTAAATTTGAAGTCATGGGAGGATATGAAGATATAAATATCAGGTAAGCTTTTTGAGAAACCATACCTACACTTGAGACAATTGGGAGAGTCTGTTTAGAGGTGATAGTTAAAACATCATCTCAGAGGCCTGAAGTCGGAAGCTTGGTGACTGCCTAACTTCAAGAGTGGGAAGCATTATAAATGTAAAAAAGAATGGCCTGGCTGTGTTAAGCATTCAGAAAAGGGTGAATAATGGCAACCTGTGATAAAACTGTGCTTTTTAAAAATATTTGCAAGTGTGTTAAAAACAATGTATCTTTGATTAGAAGAACCACTTCTGAATTAGTGTTGGAAGTGACACATCCAAATTAATAGTGAGCTACACGGGAGCACAAAACACTGGGAAGGTTCAAACATTCAGACTGATTCTGTCCTCCAGGCCTATGAACATAAATGGCACAAACCCTGAGTTAGGAAAGACAATTTTATACTCGACCCTTCTATAACAGAATGAATGAGCCATCTCTAGGAGCTACATTCCTCGCTTGGAATAGAGCCAGCTCTCGGATTGTCCTTGCACATGGGAGGAGTTGAGCATATACCGTACAGAGGGCGTAGCACGTTATTCATCACGCTCACAATCCTCATGCTGGGAGTATATGCATGGTTATTGCATAATTTTACATATTTATCCCTCAGAGGTATACAGAAGAGACTACATATGTAGCACAGTCCTCTAGCTTCTGAAGTTAGAAAGTAAGAGAAAGTTGAGCCCATTCAATTTATTAAGGATTGAACATTTGTTGTAACTTCTGAACTCTGAAAAGATTTTAAATTGAAATTTGTTGATGCAGATTCACATGTAGAGGAATTATAAACATGGGGCAGCTTCTTATAGTTGCATAGAGATTATCATGGGTAACATTGAAGTATATGAGCATATGAAAAGGGGAACATTAATGGAAAAAGATGTACATTGTATTCACTTAGTAAAACAAAATCAGATTATGTAAAGTTCTTTTCATTTTATAAAATAGACATAAAACTCCAAAATAAGGTGTAATGTATGTAAAGCAGGAATTATAACAAGGGTTAATATTGTTGTACCTTTTAATGTAATAGTTCTAAAGATCTTTACCCTTAACATTAAACATGGAAAGATTGTAACATAATGTTTTCAAAAGTTTAAGGGCATGGCTTACCAGCCTATTTAAAAGATGTGATCTTTATGAGTATTTCTAAAGAATTACTTACTGATTTTAAATTACGACACTTGAAAACAGTAAATATAACATGCTTTACAAGTATATTTCTACAGTACTTTGTTCATTTTATAGTACTTGTCACTTATATATTTGCACATGTCTTCTTTACACTATATTTTGAACCTCTTAAGTAAGGGTAGGAAATGTGTCTTGTTCATCTTTGAGTACCTGGAATGTAGTAGACATCAAGTAGATGTGTGAATGATTGGATAGGATTTGGCTTACAGTTAATTATTGGACTTTGAAGGTACATTGTCTGTTCCAAAGTACTGACTAGGCATAGTTTTTAGTCTATAACGGTAACTCCTGCTTGTAAAGGGAAGTTATCAGGGGAGCAGAATGCTGAAGGCCAAGTCGTCATGTGCACAGGCCGTGTGTGTGTGCAAGTGCATGGTGAGCCTGAAGCATGAGTGAACAGCTGGAAAATTAGATTGTAAACACATTTTGGTAAACCCTGAAGGTCACACTACCCAGTTTGCACTTCCAGTGTCAATGGAGCACAATTAAGTTTTTGAGAAAGAGAGAAAAACCTGTAATTTAGGTTCCTGTCTGGTGGCATTATAAAGTCTGAGTTGGAGAGAAATTGGAGTCAAGGAAACTATTAATAGGTTAGAAAACATGTTATTATCCAAGCCAGAGAGAAATGAAGGTCTGAATCAGGGCACTGGGTCTAGAAGGGAATAAACATTTAAGACATAGCATGTGTAGAATCGATCGCTTTTTACAACCGATTAGAAAGAAGGAAGGAAGTTGGTCATGGTAGAGGCCTTCTTAGCCTTGAGTTCCTTATAGCACTGGTTGCCTAGATGTATATGTGTAATATCTTTTCATTACGACACAGGCATTATAAACATAGCTATAAATTAGTCTTGCTCCATATAGTGATGTTTTGGTCAACAGTGGACCACATATGCTACAGTGGTCCCATAAGATTATGATAATTTTTACTATGTCTTTTCTGTGGTTAGATATGTTCAGATACACAAATACTTAACCCTTATGTTCCACTTGCCTACAATTTTTAGTACAGTAACATGCTGTACAGGTTTGAAGCCTATAATAGGCTATACTGTATCGCTCAGGTTTGTGGTAGGCTGTGCCATCTAGGTTTGTGTTAGTACATTCCATTGTTTGCACAATGATGAAATCACCTAATGATGCATTTCTCAGAGCTTATTTCCATCATTAAGTGATGTATGGCTGTACTTGCTAAGGCAAAGTGCTAGGAGAGAAGAAATAATTTTGAATTATCTTTCTCCAGCTTTATTTAGTGTGCTGTGCTTTCAAATATTTTCTCTCAGGCACCAAAATTTGTTAAAATTTCCACCTTTTATACAGCTGCCCCTTGACTTGCATTAGGGTTACATCTGATAAACCCATTGTAAGTTGAAAATATTGTAAGTCAAAAATGCATTTAATACACTTAACCTACCAAACATCATAACTTAGCCTAGCCTAGCTTAAAAGTGTTCAGAACACTTACATTAGCCTACAGTTGGGCAAAATCATCTGACAAGACAGTACTGTAGAGTATCAGTTGTTTACCTTCATGATCGTAGCTGACTGGGAGCTGTGGCTGCTGCCACTGGCCAGCATTGCATGAGAGTATTGTACTGCATATCACGAGCTCAGGAAAAAGATCAAAATTCAAAGTACAATTTCTACTGACTGCATATCACTTTGCCACCATCATAAATTCAAAAAGTCAAGTCATCGTAAGTTAGGAACTGTCTGTACTAAGATTTCTTTATACCTAAAACAAATTTTAAAGCTAGTCTAGTTTATCTATAGCAGAGGTGGTGTTCCTAAGTGTTACTCTTGTCAAAATATTCTGCTAAGACCTAAAATAAGCCCCAAAGACCACATTTTACTATATTTTTAAGTTATTGAGCCACTGATGTCCTTATTCTTCTCATTCTGATAGTTTTCACTTTGGTTTCATAATATAGTAATAATCTGATTGCTTAATGACATGGAAACTATCAGTATCCTACAGGTTAAACTATTAGGAGAACAAGGAGAAGCATATTTTCATCGGGTGTATAAAAAGCTACCTCTTGGGAAGTTAGGAGACTGAGCAATAGCCAAATTAAACATTAAGCCCTTACCTGCTCATAGGCCCCACCACAGGTATCCAGCTCAGTTTGTCAAAGGAGAGAATATGTATCTGAGCTCTATTATTCCACATTTAATAATTTTAAAACTTGATGGTTTCTAATTTATTATAACTACTGCTAAGAGGTATATCTAGATGTTCTCTGAATCAATTTCTGCCACAAAGGAAAATGTTAGTTTTAACCTTCTCTTCTAAATCTCAGTGGTCAGAAATGTTTGTGAGAAAATTTTACCCCTACATTTACAGTTTCTTTGTCAGATATACTCATTTACTAATTTGCCATTCAAAAGCTTGTGGTGGTGTGAAACTAAGAACGAAGTCTAGAAAGAATTTAATAGATAAAGGTTAAAAGGTTCAGTAATGTGTCAGTGAGAATGTTGTCAGATTCAGCTGTAAGAAATTTGAACTGAAACTGGCTTAAGCAGTGTGGAAATTATCTTATAAAATAGGAAGTCCACTGGCAGCATAATCTTCGGAGTTAATTGATTCAGTGGCTAAATCGTGAATGTCAAAGAATTGGGTTCTTTCCCCTCTCAGCTCTGCTCGGTGTTGACTTCTTCCCCAGGCAGATGGCAAGATGGCTACAGCTCTTTCAGGTGTCTTATCCAGATACAAGTGTCCAGGGAAACTCTTTTGAGGGCTTTCTCTCAAAAGAAGTATGGAAGCTTTTTCCAGAAGCTCTCCTCTTAATTTCCAGCAGACTTTTCCTTATTTATTGGCCAGAATTGGGCCCGTGCCCATTTCAATCCCTAACAAGATGACTGGGTGGGATCACCATTCCCTTGAGTCACATAGAGAAGCAGCGGATAGATGGCTGCTTGCATAGACAACACGGTGTCTGTTATGGTCCGTCGGGGGTGGGGTGCCGCTTTCACCCCTTGACTGGCCTGGTATACCAAATTCCATTTTCCTCTGCTGTTGTTTCACTTGTTCAACATCCTGGAATGGAAAGGTTAT